AACTGTAAAATACTGTTGAAAAGTTAAAAAGGTCTAATTAAAATCGAATGACATCCTTATTCACGGTTTGGAAGACTTCGCATGCTAATACTTCCTAAACCAATCTACATATTCAGTGCAACCCTTATTATAAAATCCCAGCTGGCTTCTTGGCAGAAATTAATAACCTCATCCTGAAATTCATATGGAAATGCCAGGGATGGGGAATATCCAAAACAAGGTTGAAAAAGGACAGAGTTGGAGTCAGACACACACTTCTGATTTTAAGTTTTCCTGCAAAGATACAGTAATGAATAGAATGTGATGTTTGCATAAGGATAGATATACAGATCAAGGAAATAGAATTGAGAATCTAGAAATGAACCCTCACAGTGCATCCAAGGCCTACACATAAGAAGTAAAAAGTACAAAACTTTTTGGAAAAAACATACAAGTAAATTGTGCCATTGGATTTGGTAGTGTTTTCTTAAATATGACACAGAAAGCACAAGGAATCAAAGAAAAAAGATAAATTGAGCTTTATCAAAATTTAAAACTTAACTGATTAAAAAATGGGTAAAAGACCTGAATAGACATTTTCTAAAAAGATTTATTTATTTTAGAGACAGCGCATGCACATGGGAGAGGGGGAGAGGGAGAGAGAGAATCTCAAGCAGCCTCCCTGCTGAGCATGGAGCCTGATGTAGGGCTTGATCCTATGACCCTGAGATCATTCCGTTAGCTGAAATCAGGAGTCAGGTGCTCAACCGACTGAGCCACCCAGTACCCCATGAATAGACATTTTTCCAAAGAAGACATATACATGGCCAATAGGTATATGAAAAAATCAGTATCACTGATAATCCAAGAAGTACAGAGCAAAACAAAACTGTGAGATCTCACCTTACACCTAATAGATCTCAAGTATTCTTACCCCCACACAATGGAAAAAAGAAAGTGTGGATATGTTAATTAGCTTGGTTTTGGTAGTCATTTCACAATGCATGCATATATTAAGAAATCACATTGTACACCTTAGATATATTCAATTTTGTCAGTCATTTTAGTAATGGGGGAATATGGGAATAACATGTGAGAAACCATGGAATTGGGAAAAAAGCAGTGTATTTTAATTGTTTACAAAAGGTCGGGATGGCTGGAGTACCAGATGTGAACAGAGAAATGGGCAGAGAGGAAAAAGCAGGGTTGAAGCATGGTGATCTTTGGGGGTCTTGCCAACCAGTTTGACTTCTACACCTCTGCAGCCCTAGCCCCTTACGGTGCCTTGATGAAAACACATGTCCAAGAAATGTTGATTGTCACTGAGACCAAACCAGAAGACAGACAAACCTCCATTGTTGAGAAAATTCTAACTAATAAAAAATGAGATCTGAGACACTTTTTTAACTTTTATGCTTCAGAGGTTACTATCATGAAAGTCAAAAGACAACCCTACTGAAAAGGAGAAAATATTTTTCAAATCATACATCTGATGAGAGACTTCCATCTGAAATATTTTTTTAAAAAGCCTTACAACTCAGTAATAAAAAGAAAGCCTAATTAAAAATGCACTATGGATCTGATTAGACATTTCTCTGAAAATCATATACAAATGGTTAATTAGCACATGAAATTATGTTCAACATTACTAATTTGGGAAATGCAAATCAAAATGTTGATACATCACATCCTACCCAACTAGGATGGCTAAGATAAAAAAACAAACAGATAATCTTAATTGTGGTCAAAATGTGAATGAAGAAATTGAAACTCATACACTGCTGGTGAAAATGTAAAAAATGCAGAAAATGTAAAACCATGTAGCACCTTTAGAAAATAGTCTAGCACTTCCAATTTACTATGTGAGTCAGCAGTTCCACTCCTAGGTATGTGCAGGAGAAATGAAGGCATATGTGCACACAGAAATTTGTACATATGAATGTTCATAGCAGCAGATTCATAATAGCCAAATAGTGGAAACAACCCAAATGTCTATCAATGGATAAATGGATAAATAAAATGGTCTGTGTATACAGTGGAATATTATTTGGTGGTAAAAAGGAATGATGTATTTGATGCATGCTACAGCATGAATGAACTTTGAAAATATTGAAAGTGAAAGAAACAAGTCACAAAAGACCACATATTGTATGATTCCATTTATAAGAAAAATCCAGAAAACCTATATAGAGAAGAGAAGGCAGATCAATGGTGGCCTTAGGCTGGAGTAGTTGGGGCAAAATATTGAGGCTACTGCTAATGTTAGGGGTTTTGGGGAGTAGGTGATGAAAATGTTCTGATTGTGGTGATGATTTCACAACTGTGTGAATATACTAAAAATCACGTAATTGTACACTTTAAATAGGTGAATTTTATGGTATGTGAATTATAAAATTATTAACAAAAAATTCACCACCACCACCACAACAGAAACAGAAAATATAACCAGCCCTTCGTAGTTCTCTTGGTCTTAGTGTCTCCTAAGTCTCTTTAAACTTAGGATACTTCACTTCCTCCACCATCCTCCTTGCCTCCCATTTTTTATGCTAATAACTTGTTGAAGAGTCAAGCTCAATTGAGTATCTCACATTCTTTTTTTTTTTTTTTAAGATTTTTTTATGTGACAGTACAAGCAGGGGGAGCGGCAGGCAGAGGGAGAGGGAGAAGAAGGCTCCCCACTCAGCAAGGAGCCTGATAACGGGGCCCGATCCCAGGACCCTGGGATCATGACCTGAGCCGAAGGCAGACACTTAACCGTCTGAGCCACCCAGGCGCCCCGAATATACTTCCTTAATTTTTCTGCATGCTTCCTTTTAGTGTTATATAACTTGTATGACAGAATTCTCCTCCTCCTCCCTCTCCTCCTCCTCCTCCCCTTCTCCCAAAACCCTGGGATCATGACCTGAGCTGAAGGCAGATGCTTAACAGACTGAGCCACCCAGGCACCCTCTTCACCAGTTTTGAACCTCATATTAAAATACAGGGTGAGAGGGATTAAGTATATAAGATTTTACTGGAATTATGGCCTTAAGAGAGAGTAGGTAGTTACTAAATTCCACTCACCCACAAAAGTACAGTTTAGACATTTTTCAACTTGAGGTGCCTGTAATTTTTCCATTTTGCTTGAAATTTCATTCCAGAAAATGATAACTAAGTAGCAGGAAACCAGTGAAGACCTTTAAGGAGAAAATAGCATCAAGTTTATGCTTTAAAAGGATCCTGTTGGCTGCAACATGGAAATAGGTTTGAAGGTGCCAGAGCAGATGCTGAACAGTTAAGAAACTCTTAAGTAGTTCAGGTGAAATAAGATAGTAATTTGTGTTAGAATCGTGGTTATGGAATTAGAAGTAGACTGTTGAGGTAAAATAGATGAGACTTGGTAATGGATCTAGTATATAAGTTGTTGTGTCCAGTTTGGCTCCCAGATTTTTGGCTTTTGTAACTGGATGAATGTAAGTAGCATTCACTCAAAATAAGAAATACTGGAGTTGATCTGGGTTTGAGCCTCCTTAATCTGATAAATTCTAGACAAGCTGAGTTTGAGATACCAAAATGGATGTGTCTATTAGGTTTTGATATAAAGGACCAGAGCTCAGCAGAGAGAGATTAATAAGTAAAGAGATATGTAGAGATATGCATAGAGATATATAAATATGAGAGTCATTATTAGTCTGTATGGGCTAATACTGAATTTGAGGAATCCCAACATTTAATGACCAGGTGAGTGACAGTGAACTAACCAAAGAGACTGATAGTGATTAGAGAAGTAGAAGGAAAACTAGGAGAAATTGGTGTCACAGAAGCCAATCAGTATTTCAAAAGGAGGAAGTGGTCAGTAGTCCGTAGATGGTTCTATGAAAGGTCAAATATGTCCTTCCAAACTCGTATGTTTATTTCCATACCTATCGATCACATCTGTGGTCTAATTACATAGATTTTGTATCCTAACTTTTATTGTTTTTACTTAATTTATCATTAATATTTTTCTTGTTCATAATCTTTAGTTCCCTGAGTGGATATATACTTGACTTAATGATTTCCCTATTGCCAGGTAATTAAGTTACCTCTGCATTTTTGTTCTTGCAAACAGTGTAACAATAAATAGTTTTGTACATGTGCTTTTGGAGGGGTGTATTTTAGGTGTTTTTCTTAGGCTAATATACCAGAAGTAGTAGTATTCCATCAAAGGCTGAGAATATGTTTATGGTCTTGAAATCTTCTAGCAAAATGATACACTTTTGAAGCAGTGTTCATAGACATCTTTTTTAAACAGTTGATTATTTTTACAAATTGACTAAGATATTTATGCAAGACAGACATATTAAGAGGAAAATATTACCTTAATTGCTAAAATTTTACTATTAATATATTTTTATTTTTTATTCATTTTAGACAGAGTGCAAGTGCACCTACCTTTGTGAGTGGGGGGGAGGGGAGGGGGGAGGGGCAGAGGGAGAGGAAGAGCGAATCTCAAGCAGACTTTGAGTTGAGGGCAGAGCCCCACATGGGGCTCAGTCTCACAACCCTGACATCATAACCTGAACCAAAACCAAGAATCAGATGCTTAACTGAGCCACCTAGGTGCCTACTGTTAATATTTTTAATAAACATTCTTTCGTATATCTCTTTTTCAATATAAATTCATATAGATATTTTATATAAATGGGATCTGATTACACTTGCTCTTTGATAACCTGCTTTTATCGTCTAAATACAGATTCTATTATTTTTAATGGTTATATATGTATTGTAAATTTATTTAACCATTTGAAGTCCAGAGAATATGTTCATACAGGTTCATCTCCTTAAAATCTTAGATGTGTTACTGCTGGGTTAAAGGATGTATGTATTTAAAATTTCAAATACATATTTCTGTATTGTGTTGCATATGGTTTCAAAGTGAAGATTTTTGTTACAGAACTTTTTTCTTTTGAAAAAAGAAATTTTTGGGAAATTGTGGTAATTGAGTTTTGCCATTTAACGTTACTGTGCATTTATAACTTCCATCATTTTATCTTTAGCTTTTGCCTGTGATGACAGAGCAGCTACAGTGGATGCCATTTGTGAATACGAAACTTCATGAGCCTTTTGTAAAATTTATATATTGGTCTCTAAGACAGCTAGATGCAGGAACACAGGTAATTGATTAATAGGAGTCTATCTTTAAGTGATACTCTGTTTAGTATTATTTCTCTTGATCTTGTTCTTTTACAGGTTTTTTTTCTTTGTTCTGTTTATATTTCAGGACTTCCTGCCTTCTTTGCTTTATTCACTACTTTCTCCTTTTATAAATATTATTTCTCAGTACCCTAGGTTTGATTTAATATGTAACATTGTTTTTTGAGTTTCAAAATTATATAAGTATCACTCTGTTAGGTTATTGTTAAAACCACTGTCCCTCCCCTTATTTAACTTACAATTTTTCATATATTACTGAAGGTAATAGAAATTAAAGATTTCTTGTGTTAATGCCAGTAAATGTACACTAGGTAAATTGGACAGTGATTTTTACAATAGCCTAATCAAAGCAGAAAAATTATTCCAGCATCTTATAAAATGAACCAGACATTTTACCTATTCATATAAGGTTCATTCAATTTAAATTTAATGTCATGCATATGTAATCATTTGTGCTATGAGCTGTAGTAGTTTTATAAAATTTTATTTCCCTAGTTAGTATTGATAAATTCTGGTATAGCTTTCATTTACTTAACTGAGAGAAACAAATTTGTGCTTCGGTAGTGTAATCTTGGTCCTGTGGAATTTGGGAAGCACACAGCTAAACCACTTAGTGTAGTACTGATGATTAAGTAGTATTAATTGAGTCATGTGATTATTATGTAGTGTGATGGTTAAGGTTAAGGAAAAATTTATTTCCTTAGGTTGTATCTGAAATATTTTGCTTCTGTGGTGCATAAGTAAGCACATGAGCATGTATGCACACATGTGCATGTACCCCCCAAATATAATTTTTAATTTCTTGGTCCTAACTATGTGTTTCACTAAACAAAGTTATATGGATTATTAGGTCTTGTAATGTTGCTGTCTTCTTTTTACAATTTGATTTTGCTATTTATATTATGGTTTCTGAAAATGGTTGGCTGAATGCTTGCTCTCAGCCACAAAAGGCTAGGCTCAGAAATTGAGCGAAATTTTCTTTTATCTTCCAACTATTCTTATCATTTTCCTTTAGATAATTTATCATTTATTTTTATCTATAAATATATACTCTGTACCCTACTCTGTGTGCTATTCTAGACAGTACTGCCAGCCTGCATCTGCGTTTCTACTGAAAAGTAGCATTCTTGCCACTGTCCCATTTGTTTATGCAACATTTATAGATGGATTTTAGTATTTTAGTTTTAATAATTGTCTGATTGCATGTACTTTTTAAAATTAAGCTTTTTATTTTGAGATAATTGGCTTGTAGTAATAAGAACTAATACAGAGAAATCACTTGTGTCCCTAACCCACTCTCCCCCAGTGGTAACATCTTACAAAACTAGTACAGTATCACAACCACAATATTGACATTGATATAATCAAAATAACGACAGTTCAGTCACCCAGATTCCTCATGTTGCTTTTTTTATGTATACAGACTTTTATTTTTTAGAGCAAATTTAGGTTCACAACAAAATTGAACACAGAGATTTCCCATATAATATACTCCCTGATCCCGCATATATACTGCCTCCCACACTATCAGCTTCTTGCACCAGAATTTGTTATAAATTGTTACAGTTTGTTACAATTGGTGAACCTACGTTGATATGTCATTTCACTCCAAGTCCATAGTTTACATACATTAGGATTCATTCTTGGTGTTTTACATTCTCTGAGTTTTGACAAAAATATAATGGTGTGTAACTGCCAAATATAGTATCTTATGGAATAATTTGTTATTAAAAATAGTTTGCCCTAAAAATCCTCTGTGCCTGCCTAGTCATGCTTCCCTCACCCCTAACTCCTACAAACCACTAATCCTTTTACTCTTTGCCTTTTACATAATATGATAGCTTTTCTTTTTACAGAGTATCATATAGCTTAGATTTAGCTTTTTCAGATTGGCTTCTTTCACTTAGCAATATGCATTTAAGATTCCTCCATGTCTTTTCATGATTTGATAGCTCATTTCTTTTCAGTGCTGAATAATACTCCATTGTCTAGATGTACCACAGTTTATCTGTCCATTCACCTACTGAAGGACATTTTGATTGCTTCCAAGTTTTGGCAAGTATGAATAAAGATGATATAAACATCCATCTGCAGGTTTTTATATGGACATTAGTTTTCAACTCCTTTGGGTAAATACCTAGGAGCACAGTTGTTGGATAGATATGGTAAGAGTACGTTTAGTTCTTTGAAAAACTATAAGCTGCCTTCCAAAGTGGCTACACCATTTTACATTTTCAGCAGCAGTAAATGAGAATTCCTGTTGCTCCACATCCTCATCAACATTTGGTGTTGTCAGTGTTTTGTGTTTTGGCTATTCTAATTGGTGTATAGTCAAATCTGGTTGTTTAAATTTGTAATTCCCTAATGACATACCGTTGAGCATCTTTTCATATGCCTGTTTTCCACCTGTATATTTTCTTTGGTGAGGTTTCCAGGTTCTTTGCCCATTTTTTAATTGGGTTGTTTTTAGAATTCTTTCTCTATTTTGGATCACAGTTCTTTATCAGTTGTGTCTTTGTAAATATTTTCTCCCAATCTGTGGCTTCTCATTCCTTTGACAGAGTAGTTTTTAATTTTAATGAAGTCCAGCTTCTCAGTTATTTTTTGTGGATCATGCCTTTGGTGTTATATCTAAAAATTATTTACTGTATCCAAGGTATTGTATATTCTTGGAGAATTGACTATCATTATGTAGTGCCCTCTTTCCCTGGTAACTTTCCTTGCTCTGAAGTCTGTTTTGTCTGAAATTAATAAAGTTATTCTGGCTTTCTTTTGATTAGTGTTAGCATAGTATATCTTTCTATCCATTTACTTTTAATCTGTATTTGTCTTTATATTTAAAGTGGGTTTCTGGGGCGCCTGGGTGGCTCAGTCATTGGGCATCTGCCTTGGGCTCAGGTCATGATCCCAGAATCCCAGGACTGAGCCCCACAATTAGGCTCTCCGCTCAGTGGGGAAGCCTGCTTCTCCCTCTCCCACTCCCCCTGCTTGTGTTCCCTCTCTCACTGTTTCTCTCTGTCAGATAAATAAATAAAATCTTTAAAAAAAAAGTGGGTTTCTATCCATTTACTTTTAATCTGTGTTTATCTTTATATTTAAAATGGGTTTCTTATAGACAGTGTATAGTGGGTCTTTTCATTCACTCTAATAGTCTCTTTTAATTGGTGTGTTTTGACTATTGATGTTGAAAGTGATTATTGATATTGTTTGATTAATATCTACCATAGTTTTTACTATTTTTTATTCATCGACAATTCTTTGTTCCTGTTTTGTTCTTTTTCTGCCTTTTGTGGTTTTAATTGGACATTTTATATGCTTCTACTTTCCCTTTCTTAGCATATCAGTTGTATTTCTTTTTTAATTTTTTTAGTGGTTGCTCTACAGTTTGCAATATGAATTTACAACTAATCTAAATCCATTTTCAAATTACACTATACAGCTTTATGTGTAGTGTATCTTATAATACAGTACACCCACCTTATCTGTGGTTTCACTTTCTGTGGTTTCAGTTACCCACGGTTAACCACAGGCTGGAAGCAGATGACCCTCCTTCTGAAGTATTGTCAGAAGGTCCTTATTAGCCTATGCTAAATAAGGTCACAATGCCTGTTTCATTCACTCCCTTCATCTCATCCTGTAGACATTTTACCATCTTACATCATCATCATAAGAAGGATGAGTACAGTACAATAAGATATTTTGAGAGAGAGAGAGAGAGACCACATTCACATAACTTTTATTATATTGTTATAATCTATTTTATTGTTATTGTTGTTAATCTTTTACTGTGCCTAACTTATAAATTAAACTTTATCATAGGTATGTATGTATAGGAAAAGACATAGTATATAAAGTTTGGTACTGTCCATTGTTTCAGGTATCCCCCCTGGGGGTCTTGGAACACATGCCCCCCAGATAAGCGGAGACTACTGTAACAAAATGCTGCTGATTTCTTCCTCCTGTCCTGTACTCCCTTGTATCATTCCTGTCCTTCATTTCACTTACACATAAGCATACATAAGCATGCATGTGTACACACACGCACATGCACACACACAGGCATTCATAATCAAACACACTGTTGCTATTGTTTTCAACAAACTTATCTGTTAGATCAGTTAATAAAAGATAAAAGTCTTTATGTACACTTATTCCTTCTCTAATGCTCTTTCTTTCTTTATGCGCATCCAGGTTTCTAAGCTATATGATTTTCCTTCTCTCTAAAGAGCTTGTAATATTACTTTCAGGGCTGGTCTACTGGTAACAGATTCCTTCAATTTTTGTTGATCTGAGAAAATATTTAAGTTTGATGGATAATTTCACAGTATATAGAATTCTAGGTTAGTGGAGTTTTTTTTCTCAACATTTTAAGTATTTCATTCTACTTTCTTTGTGCCTACATGGTTTTTGAGGAGAAATTGGATATAATTCTTATCTTTGCTTCTCTATGAATAAGCTGTTTATTCCTCTAGCTTCTATCAAGATTTTTAAAAAAAGTTTTTATTTTCCGCATATGCTTTGGTGTAGGTTTTTTGGGGGGTTGGTATTTATCCTTCTTGGTGTTCTCTGAGCTTCCTGGTTTTGTTTCTTATGTTAATTTGGAGGAAACTCTGTCATTACTGTTTCAAATATTTCTTTTATTCCTTTCTTTTCTTTTCCTTCTGGTATTTCTATTACCTGTATTACACCTTTTGTAATTGTCCCATAATTTTTGGATATTCTGTTCCACTTTATCCAGTCTGTGTTTTTCTCTTTGTATTCCAGTTTTTGAAGTTTCTAATGATGTACCTTTAGACTTAGAGATTATTTCTTCATCCCTGTCTAGTCTACTAATGGGCCCAACAAAGACATTCTTCATTCACAGTGTTTCTGATCTCTAGTATTTCTTTTTGATTCTTTCGTAGAATTTCCATCTCTCTGCTTACATTACTCATCGGTTCTTGTGTGTTGTGTACTTTTT